GAAGGCTCATCAGTATTTTAAAATAAATGTTTATGCAAGTAATATTTTTAAAACAAAAAAAACATATTTTCTGATTATTTACTGAAAGTATTTGATTAAACCTGTAGCACTAGGTGATATTTGTGTGTTCCAGTTGAAAACCATCGTAATTTCTTTAAACACCATGCTACTCTTAAATGAGAATTCTTAACAGATTTCAACTCCCCTCCATAGCAGGGTAACATATTTCAGTCAAGCCTTTGAATCAAATTCCAAATGAAGTAAAATCAAGCAGGGTTTCAGCATGGCCCAGAGATGGTTTTAGTCACAACAGCTATTTCATTTCTGTTGGTGCTGGGTTTGGGTTTTTTTGGGGGAGAGGAGAGGGGTGTAATTTGTTTTTAGTTTTAATTACCCTAACTTATGCAAATAAATCCCTGCTGATAGTCAACAATTTTCAGTTTGCTGGTAATGTCACAGTATGGATACACATGAATTGCTTTATATCCATCTGGCCCCACAAGAATATTGTAGACGAAATGGAGCATTATGTTACTCAGACACTAGGAAATGACATAATAGCTAAAAGATAGTTTTAAACCTGCTGAGAACTTACCCAATTTTTCTTTTTCTTTTTCTTGGAGTCAGCGTCATTACCACTGCCAATGCTTGAGTGACTTGTAGCACTGTTGATACTGGAAACACTTTCTGAAGAATGTTGCCGCCTTATACGTAAATCTAAAGAAAAGAAATTGCTGTGAAATCCATTTTTTCTGTTTCAATAAAAGAAGCATTCTTCTATTTATGTGCCATCTTCCTTGTCAGAGGGAATCTAAATGAACATAAATGGCATTGATGCTTGCAGTGGCTCAGATTCAAGCTATTGCAGCCTGTGAGAAACCACATGGAGGTCAATGAGGTTGTGTACAATTTGGCTAACACTTAGGAGCTTCTCCAAGCTGGGGTCTTATTGCCATAAAGGCAATGACCCTGCACAGCAATCTATGCAGGCATAACCTCATAGCTGAGCAGGGTATGTTACACATGGGTTACTTGACATATTATTGTCACATGTACTACAGTTCTGAGGAGTATGGGCACTACTTGACTTGTAGCATCCCTAATCAGCATTCAGATGCTACCTTCTAATATACCATGATGGAAATAAACAGGCAGGAGTTAATTAAAAATGATGGAAATAAAATAACCAAGAAGTGGAGAATATTAGAAATGGCTGATTAGGTTTTTAAGTTTCAATTTCTTAAAAGTCTCTTCTAACTATATCTTAATCACTGGAAAATATTCTTGCAGAACATGCTCACTACTACCATGGGAAATTACTTTTTAGAGTATTTTCTACTTACTTTCTACTTCTGTTAGCTTTACTACACTCAAGTCATGCAGTGAAATGACCTTAAGCCAAACATCTAAATAATGACCTCTCTAAAGAAAGATCAATGACACTCTCAAAAATGAATGCTGCGATTATTTTTTTTCAAGTAATTCCTTTGCTGTTGCTTATCAGCAGGCACTTTTGAAGTATATATTTATCATGTGGTATCTGCCTAACTGCAATGACAAATTAACTCAACATCTGGAATTTAAAATGCCTGCTTTCCTGCACTGATTCAGCACCTCATGAAGAAGCTGGGCTGTTGTCAGTCCACCTCTTAACAATAAGAACACCAATTTACAATGCTACAACTTCCATTAGATTTCCAAGCTATAACCACATTACACCATATGACTTCACTAGTGTCTCGGGTGTACTTCAGTACACAATTGCAGTGACAGGGTTAACTCTTGACACACAGCAATAAATTCCTGGCCACCCAGATCTGAGAAGACAAGGCTCCAGGAGCTTCGGCAGACAGGAAGCTCTGGAAATACCACAAATAAGCTTACCATTCACTGCAGAATGTGCTTGCCCTTGCAACAGAGTCCCCAAACATCAGAAAAGTAGTGACTCAGCTTCTTTTTTTTTTTTTCCTGGGATAAACTTCACATTTAATTAAATAGTGACAAAACCCTGGGATAAATTTCACATTTAATTAAATAGTGACAAAACCATACCTTTGTGGGTATGATCAGGACCATTCAAGGCTCCTTGAATAGCTGCTTGTGCAGCAGAATTCTGGGCTTTCAGCATTTCAATGGTTTCCCTTAGTTCTATAAGCTCAGATTCCTGTGGGAAGAACAAAGAGAGCTCAAATATATGGCAGAACAACTGTGTTTGTCTAAGCTAAAAAAAAATTACAAGATAAGAGTGGTCAAGTTCATGGGACTGCTTGGGTGGACATAAGGGCAACAACTAAGTAGAATGCATACTTTCTCTCCAAAGATATTAAACTCAACTCACATATTATTTTGCATTCATTCTATATAGAGCAATCATGCTGTTTTAAGGAGAACAACACATTTTTAGTACAAATTAATTTAAAAAGGGTCTCAATTGAATATTCAATATAAAGATAAGAGCAACCCAACAATTTTATTACAATAAAACTGTTTGAACTACATCCTTTAGTAAGTGAGGCTACAGTTTAATGGATGAATCTCAACCTGAATTTGTGTATTTTTCAAAAGATTTAGCTGGTGAAATACTAATTCAATTACAATTTAATCACATCTGTCCTGCAAGTTGGAGTAAAATTACTCCATTTGGGTGCAGTAAGTTTTGTATTAGAATGCACAGCTGATTTTTATTAAAAATTTTTATTACTGCTTTTATTACTTACCTGTCAGTCCAGCCCATACTTACAGAATTAAGATTAAAGGAATTTAAACTCAACAATAGAGAAAAGAAGAGATGGAAAAGAACATGTTCTAAATCTTTTGGGAAAGAAGCATGGAGATGATCTGTGTTCAGCCAGATTTAAATGTTAATTTTATAGACAGCTACACTGACAACAGTGGTGACTAACATCTAACTGATACACATCTTCTTTCACAGTTTGGCTCAATGAGGCCTTTCCATTTATAGGATACTGTTCAAAATGAATAAGGGTAGAAATTTGCAGAAGTTCAATCCTGGAAGGTGCTAAGCAGCCTCTTAATCCTGAGCTTTGTAGAAAGGCTCATATTAAATTTACTCCCTATCAGGTTTGTATTTTTTCCCCCCATTAGACAAAACAGCACAGTGAAAGGCAAAACTGTTTACTCATGAATAGGATGCCTAACCTGCATTAACTCTATGAATGGAGTTATTTTTCTCTACTTAAAGTTCTTCCCTTCCCATAATTCTAATATTCTGACAACACTGGCTGGCTAGAATGAAGCACTCCAGAAGTTTATGATCAGTCTTTGTTAAAAGATCTTTCAGTATGGATTAAACCTAGAGTTGCATGTTTTAATTAAAGTCTGGAAAAGAAAGATGCTATCTTCAAACTATTCTATGACATTGTGTGTGTAAACCTGATGCTGCACAGTTTAATTCTCCTGGATCTTTATGAAGATTTGATTGCAACAACCATTAAAGAAAGATCTGTCTCTCTTATTGTGACAGATGTCCCTGTTTCTTTCCAGTGTTTTTTAAACAAAACTCTAATATAATCTGCTGACTGTTTTCCACACTAAAGCATCTGCTTTGGTAAACCTACCTTTTGTTCAGCTGTCATTGTTAGACTCTGCAATCGGCCTGTCATATTTCCCAAGCTTTTTTCAAAAGCTGCTACTAGGTGAGCCTGTGAAAGAAAGAGAAAACATTTGTTGCAATAATAGGACAATTTTCCCAGATCTATGTGATTTAAAAAAATATGTTTTTCCTCCAATCTCATCTCCAGCTCTTTAATATTAGTTTTAAACTTAGACTGAGCTAACTTGGATAGATGAATCTGTCAATTGAGCCCAGTGTTCCTCAGGCTTCTTTAGCCCCCAAGGAGATTAGCTCAGGTATCTCTGCCTAGCAATGAATTATGGATTTAATGTCCTGCTTTGAGTGTACTGATATATTGGCTGAAAGGAGTCTGCTCCCAAATAGAAGTCCAGGAGCAATTATTTTCAATTACTGGACACTTCAAAATGGAAATCCAAGTACTTTATCTTGAAAGGTAAATTTTCACCTCACAAATAAAACACCAGAGAAATCCTGAGACTCAGACAAAAAAATATCACTGTTAGTTTTATAAAAGGTCTTAGTCTATTAGTCTTAATCTTAATCTTTGCATAATGTATATATGTTGTGTGTATCAAAGTAATGAAAAACTTCTGTAAAATATAAATATAATATTTATAATGCATGCAAATGAATATATAAAAGACAGTCTTGAAAACTCGAAGTCCTACTTCTCAATAAGAAAATCAATGAAGTTGAAACAGATCAAAAGGTTTTAAAAAATTAAAGCTATCTTGTTGGGTTTTTTAACAACCAGCACCTTACACTCTAGGCAAGCAAAATTTATACAAACAATACATCAACTCTCCATTGGTTCTAAATGACTTGTAGTTTGTAGGCAAAGAAGGGCAAGTGGTCTTAAAGAAATCAACAAGCTAAACCAGTTTGTACAGCCAAGGGAAAGCAAAGATTTAATTTCTATGAAATTACTTAAAATTTCATTCATTCCTCTCACAGCATCCAAATAGAAAAAGCAGAAAAAAATATTTATTTTCTCTTTATCATCTCAAAAATGGTAATAGGCAAAGTTTTCAAACATTAGTACTTGGAAATGTAAATCACAGGCAACATACTTATATGCACAAATGGATTAACTGAGCCTCCTCACTGAGAAAATGTATTTTTTATTATAGTAGTGCAGGCGCACACAGTGGCTGGCAAATTTTTCAGTTGCAGATTTGCATGCTTGTACAAGCATAAGTGAAATTGCTCAAATATATGTGGTTGTACTGAATCTAAGGTATAATCAGAAAAAGACATGCTCCAAAAAGGATTCTGTTCTGCATTTCAGGAGAAGGAAAAATGCTTCTTGCCACCTTGCTCTGTATATTATCCCTCAAATAGAAAAATTTTGTCATGTACATAATACCAGCCTACTTCTGCATCTCTGCTTCACAGCTGTTATACTGCTAAGTGTCTCCTTACTTTATTCTTATTTAACTTCCTAAAAGTTTACTCCTTGCAAACTATATTATTACTAAATAATTTATTCAATTACTTATGGGTATAGTGGTCAATCCATCTGCTTTCTACATCTACAGGGATGCCTGAGGGATATTTCTTTTGGTAAAGGACATGTTCTGCAGGGACTAACTTTAGATAAACGTGAGACTAGATGCATAAACAATCTCTTAAGGATTAGTTAGTAATTGTGTATATTTCTATTTTAACATTTCTAACTTAGGCTATTTCTTGAAGTTATAATTTTAAATAAAATGAACCTGGAATGTGTGTCAAATGCACCTCTGAAACCTGTCAATCAATTCTACAGCCTTCGGTTGTTTCCACTACTCTGTTCCTCTGAGAATATAAAAGTAACTGGTTTCTATACTTACTTTTCACCTCAATAATTAGCTACTTATTAAAAATATCCAGACTAATCTATGGCATTTCGTTTCCAAAGATTATGACCACTGACCCAGAACACAATCAGAGACAAAGTAGATGCACTACCACAGAATTATAGCCAAATGTCGCTTCATTACATGTGTTTAACAGGAAACTAATGGAGCTCACTGTTCCCTGCCAATAAAAAATTCTATGGCTTGGCTGATGGCCCATGGCTCTTCTTTACCATGAGAATTACAATGGGGACTGAGGGCTTGAAAAGAGGAATAATTTGCTTAATTATGCATTGCTTTTGTCCGTTTCTCACAATTAAGACTGTAATAACCACGGTTCTTTGGTAGCTAACTATGCATATTTGTGCAAAGTATTTTCTTATTCCATAGCTACAGCTTCATCCTATATTGTACACTAATAAACCACAAGGAACTTATAGGAAAAATTAAGTGCTAAAAAGCATCACTAAAAATGTAACCCCAGGTCACTGAAACTTAAGTTTTTGTCCGGCAGATTTTAGAGAAAGACAGCCATGTCACAACTATAGATTCTTAATAAATTCAGCCTGTGACAGAGTACATAACCTTCTTGGAGTATCATACTAAACACTTTGCATCATAAATGCCATTGGATCAAAATAATGGATTCTTCCTCACTCATTTGAGATAATGACTATGAGGTCTTGATTTGCTAATAATAAAAAAAACATAATTCACTGTCTCATCGGCCAAAAATTATTCAAAGAAAAACCCTTTAATTTCACTGTTCATTACTTGAAATGTTTGTTACAACAAAATACTCTTCTATGAAATACAAAGTATCAATTTTGCATTCAGAGTAATAAACTGTGCTGCCTTTCTCCATGGTAACTAACATTCATTTATTCAGCTGTCTAGGGAAATCCTGCTTGTCAATATCTTACACAGATTTTATCCCCAAAGAAATACTATACAACAAAATAGGAAAAGTTAGTTTGAAAAAGCCTAGATTATCAATAATTTAATATGTGTGTGGAGGTATGCATGAAACATACGTATGTATATATTGCCAACTGAGATTGGCCTTTGCATTTAAACAGTTAAATGCAAAATAATTCAGAAAACAATTGAAGCCAATAGAAAAAAGTATCTATGTCTTTAATAATACTCATCAGAAATTAAAAATTTTAATTATAAACTCATTTTATCCTTACAAATTTGGTAATTTATTTTGATTAGATTGCTAAACCTCAGTTTCTGAGGATTATTTAATTTATCCAAGAGGTTTCATTCTTTCATTCTCATCAAATTATTTAGGAATAGATTTTTTTTTCTTTGAGGGGGAGGTGGGGGTGGGGTAAAGTTACCAGCCCCTCATACCTTAGAAATCTCTGTGTTAGATTCAGTGGTTTCATTCATACACCATTGGAATACCTCAAAAAGCAGCCTGAATATTGCATGTGCTTTAAATAACATTCATTCTGAAGTAAAAATGTCTTTGCATTTAATGCAGTATTTGTACTGGGAAATAGATATCCTGGAATTATAGTTAAGAAACTGGGCATTACTGGAAGTATGCCTACACCAAAATATATCCATCATTAACATGATATACATATTAGATACACAGATGATGTACAGCTCTTAATCCATAGATTCTTCATATATGGATTAATTTTCACTCCTATTAACATATGAAATTCCCTTTGGAAATAGTCAAAGAGATGTATGCTCAGGAAATGACCTCAGCACTGACAGATTCAATTTTAAATGTTTCCTTTTTAGCAAACAATCCCAGCCAGGCAAACCCAAATACCTCTGCCTATCCTGAACATGACATTGGCATACAAAACATCTGTCTTCTGACACACTGCAATTTGTCCTGTGGTGTTCAGGTTTATAAAACAAAGGTAAATAAATAAAGTTCCTCCCACCTGACACGGCTGAATGAAAGGAGATGTGAAAGGCCAGAAGGGATCAGGCTGATTGCAAGCAGCAACTGTACATCTGTTGACCTTTTCTGTTCGCTGCCTGCTATTATCTTGTTGCATGGCTGTAGGATAGTGGTTCAGAGCTGGCCAAATGAGAGTATTAGCCAGCGAACCCCCTCTGCTTTCTACTGGCATCCTGGGTCTACTACAATTTGCAAGCATGCACCCTTCAGCTTTCTACAGTACAAAGCACTGATCAAAGTCCCTCTGAACAGGCTGGTTCAGGCTGCTCACTGGAATTTGAGCCCTTGTCAGTCACGTAGAAAGTCTGCTGGTTGGACACTTTCTGTACTGGAAACAGGCCCTTTCTTAATTAGTACTGAGATTTGTCCTTCAGCCACATCGATACAGATGCCAGGAGTTAAGCCAGAATCCTAGAAAAAAAGCTGTAAATTAAGCATCCAAACAACAGCTGGGCCCTGCTTGAATTTAATCATATGCAGGCAAAACACTTTGGGGTTAATCAAATGAAATAAACTGCTGAAATCAAGCATAGTTCAAGTGAACCCAGACAATAAAACCTGAACAACGAGAAAATTTTTAGCAGAGGTTTCAAAAAATGCCTGAGAAATGCTGTAACTTCCAATTGGCAGATTTTGGTATAAAAAAATGTATTGAGTAAAGGCTTGATGAAATAGATCAAATTTCAACCTGCCAGTCTTTTAATGGCACATGTACTAATGTCACCAACAGTCTTCTAAGCTGAAGCAAAAAAGGCAAATGGTGTTGAAATGAGATGAATAAGATGCTCTTTTTTTCAGTCATGTACAATACTTTTGCCCAATTCTAGAAGGGAAATGGTAACAACAAATTCACACCTGAGATGAACTGTGAGGGAACGAGATTTCTGGCTGTTAACAGGTTTCTTCTCCAGACCACAGCAAGGAAAAAAGTGCTGTCTATTTTCAGACAGTGAAAGTATGGAAATTTGGAGGACTTTAGGACTAAGACTAAGATGAATGGAAAGGCATCAGAAAGGACAAAGTAGTTTTCTGGTTAGCAAAGGCACTGCAGAATATATTCTATTCATACAGTTCTCTGCCTGCCAGAGATGGATGTATCTACAGAGAAGACAGGCAGTGATCAAACTTCCTTCTGCATTAGACTTAATGTTTGTTCAGGCTTTAGCCTACTGGCATGCAAAAGTGACTCAAAATGAGGGCCACAGTAGTATTATCCATGCAGAGATTTGATTTCTACTCTAAGGATAAATTTCAGCTTTTGTGATTGAGACTATTTCTCCTTTAAAAGGCAGGGGCTGGTGAAATACGTCTCTTAGATTAGAAAATAATAAAAGAATGCATGCGAGGAAAGCATTGCTATGACAGCAAAAGTTCACGAAAATTAGAAGCCCATCTGGTGTTTTAGTAAGTTTGTCAAATGAAATAAAATATTTGTTAATTACTCTCATAATTTTAATGAAAAGTATGTAATCACTAGCATTTAAATATCAAATCTGTAATTAGACTAAATTCCAGAGGCTGTATCAGAATTAAAAGGTTGAATACACACTGTTTTCAAGTTGGATTTTATTTCTAATGTTTAAGTAATACTTCATAGAATTTCTTTGCATAAAGTGCTCAAAAGACTGACAGAAGTAGTACTGACACATTTAAGCAGTCTGCTTTGATCCTCTGGACTTACGTGGAAGTGGATTTTTAATGCTTTACATGTTCTGTACCAGAAATAGCAGAGAATGAACTTAGGACCAGGCTTATTGTGAAATACTTTTCAATTTTTTTTGTTTTGTAAAGTATGTATCTCATGACAGCATCCCCCAAAAATATTTACTTCACATTTCTTCTAAGATTGCATTCATTGTGAAGGTGTCTGAATTCCTTGTTCATGCCTGCAGAATTTGAAGCCTCTAAGTTTCATGCTTCTGACAAGTTTAATTTTGAGGGAATTTCTCCATGTTGGTGATTCAGAAAAAGGAAAGATTTCTCTGGTACCATTTGAAAAAATGTATGTCTTAAAAGGATCAGCTTTAGGGCTACAGGTTTAAAGAGTGTCTCCATGAAGATGGATTAGAAAGTGTGTGACAAAGTCAAAAGAACGTGGTTAAACTAAACAAATGCAGTACTTCTGGACAGATAAAAACAGATGTATATGCATATATTTTTTTAACTGTCCTGTTGAAAATGTTGCCCTTCCAATTAGAGTAGAAAAGCTACGGTCATTCTCACTAGGTGTTCAGATGGCCAGAGGCAGTAGGCGGGACCAGATTCCCAACAAATCCAATCTGAGTTATACAGGTTAAACCAAATTTCTCACCCTTGCAGCAGATTTAGTTTGACTGAAAATTAACCCAAAATATAACTATCCTTTTTTAGCCTCACTCAATTTCTTTGAAATATGGACCAAATATGACTGCAAGTTGAAGCTGGCTTTGAAAATTTGTCTAGAGTAGGTAACGTCACTAGAAACCAGTGTGTATGGTGTTTACTTAATAGAAAGGAATACTGGTCACAGATAGATACAATGACTACTAAACAACACTGAGGAGAGATTGGACAAAATTTGCCCAAAGAAACTAAACAATGGCTTCATCACCCCAGCTGCAGAGGAGAAAGGCCTGACAGCCTCACCCATATACAGCATCTGTTGCAGTGTAATAGACTACAGCATGCTGGGGTGACTGGAAAGGGATGGAGACTAAATGGAGTCATCTTTCAACTTTCCCTTTCTACACATCAGTAAGGAGTATGCTGTTTTCTGTTCAGAGCTAGTGGAAGGAGAGGAAGGCAAACTGCTTTTCTGCCTGCAGAGTGAAGTAAGAGATGGTACCAGGAGCCTGAATTGTCACCTAGAACAGGCACTGAGCACAGGTCCATAAGCAAACACTCTAGTATTATTGATGTGATACACCTGCTCTGAATCACAGAATGGACTGGGTTGGGAGGAACCTTAAATGGTCCAACCCCTGCCTGTGGGGAGGCACATCTTTCACTAGATCAGGGGCCTGCTGGAATCAAGACAACTTCTCTGGATAACAGCGGCTGTGTGGGCATTACCAGAGCACTCAGAGTGGATGTGGGGATGTCTGTGATTGTGCTGTGTCACCCTGTGCTCACCACTACCAGGCAGAGCTGCTGCACACCTGCATTCCTGGTGGAAAGAAAAGGGCCTGCAGAGAGCAACATTAGCAAACCTGAGGCATGCTGACTGAACTTTTCTGACCTCTTAGTGTGGGTTTTAGTCTGTTCCTCTCTGGATGGGTGAATGAAGAACTGCCCAAACCTGGCAAAGATGAAGGTCAGTGTCTAAAATATATGAGTGAAAGAACCCCATACCCAGGACAGAAATGCTGCCTATTCTGGCTGTACTTTCTCAAATCCTATGAATATGGGTACACATTCTCAAATCAAAATGAATAACCCAATATCTAGATTTTGAATCTCAATGTCCAATATCATCTGCTTCACTACCTCATTCTCAAAACTTAGGATAAACTGGCAACCTACACCACTACAAATGTACAGATACCCACAGGAGTTCTGCAGCCACCTGAACAGAGAGAAAGTGCTGGGCACAGCTCTTCTACATTTTCATGTGTGGCAGTCCTAAGAGAATAAGCAGCTTTCACAGAGCTAGAGATTATTTTCTCACAACATGAACACAGTGGTACTTCACCAACTGAAATAATATATTTTTAATTATGGCTGTATTTATAGATCTAAATACTCAGACCACCTGTATTTCAAAGAAAGGCACTCTATGGGTTGTCAAAGATACCAGGAAACTGCTTTCTTGAACTGCAAAATGATACTGTCTTGCAACTGCATCTCATCTTTCCGTGGCATTAGTAACTATAATTACATCCTGAATTGCATTTAAAAACCACAATACAACAGATTGTTCAGTAACTATCCAGTAACTTCATCTGAAACCATAGTAACCAGACAAGATTGTAGCTCACATTCTGTATCTGGCATTATTTTCAGATAACATACTCAGTAACTCACATTCCCAGTATATGACATTTGGAAGGAACACCAGGGAGCTCTCTGTGAAACAGCCTGGTTTCCCTTAGTTATATATCACCACTGTTGTTGCAGCATATGAATTCTATATACACTTGTATACTGTGCTTCACTTCACACCTGTTGCAGCGTATGAATTCTATATATACTTGTATACTGTGCTTCACTTCACACCTGTTCACATTTTGCGGAGTTTATCTCTGTGAAATGAAACTATAATGAATTCTATCAGGATATGCAAATCATGCCCTTTCTTTGGTTGTGTGTTGTTACATTTTTGTTTGTTTGTATGAATTCTATATATACTTGTATACTGTGCTTCACTTCACACCTGTTCACATTTTGCGGAGTTTATCTCTGTGAAATGAAACTATAATGAATTCTATCAGGATATGCAAATCATGCCCTTTCTTTGGTTGTGTGTTGTTACATTTTTGTTTGTTTGTTTTTGTTTTTCAATTGATTCTTATAAAAGAGTGAAACTGAACAGGATAGGACTGTTGTCACATCCAAAGTGTGGAAACACTCCTTTCCATTTCCACTGTCCACTTTCTATTTCCACAGGATTTCTTCTGCTTGGAGCTGGGGCAATATAGACATTTAATGAAGCAATTAATTTGAAAAACACCAAAATAAAAAAAAGTAAAAATCTCACAGACTATGTGCTGAGTAAGAGCTATTAGCCAATCTGATAACATATTCTTTGATACTGTTTATGATGACAAGCAAAAATACTTACATTTGCTGAAAGTTGAGAAGTAAGGGTAGCAACTTTCTCTTGTGATGCAACAAGCTCTCTCCGTAGTTTCTGAATTTGCTAGAAAAACAACAGTGCTGTCAGTATTTCAGCAATTTCCATTTGTTGTGGTTATTTTTATATGTTTTCTTAAGTGATCACGGATAGATTTACAATGTCTTAGTTTCACATTTTAACCTCAGAACTATGTTGAAATGCAAATTCTTAAACGTTGGCTCTAAGTGCTGCTCCAACTGTTTTCTTGCCTTTAACCAGTGTATGAGCTAGGATCCCAGTTAATAATAATAACTGTAGCTTTAAATGTGCTTTTTGATACAAAACCAAACTTAATTCAAAATTCCTGTGTCCTTTAATGAAAAACAGAATCATTAAGAAAAATATCTGTTTACATTTCAGCTGGGATAGATATTTAACATGAAGTTAACACATAATTTTTAGCTCATTGAATCCTATTTGAGATCTTACAGGGACTCCAGGCATTGCACTGAATTTAAGCACAGCATGGAGTTTCACTTTGAAACCCGTTTCACATTAAGATATAATCGAAGTTATTCCAGACTAGAGAAGTAAAATGTGTAAAACAAGCCTAGGAAAGGGAACACTCACTTGTAATGACTATTGCAGTACTTTAGTTTTATGACTCCCATGAAAACCAACAAGCAATATTGCACAAGCTTTAGGAATGAACAAATTCATGTACATCTATAATACAAAAATAGCTAGGTCATTTACACTAATTCAGTGCAAAGGAGAGAGATTATTGAGCTGTTCTCTATCCCGGACTGACCCTTTTCTTTTTCCAAGTTTTCTCTTTGGTTTTCAGGTGCAATTATTGGACATTCCTG